TTTGTTTGTCAAGCTGACATGGGTCAATTATACTGGAGGGTTTGTATCAACTTGACACTAACTGAAGCCATTTGGTAAGAGTGAGTCACTTCAGCACAATTTGAAAAATGACTCCACAAAATAGGGAAGTAGGTTAGCCTATAGGACATTTCATTAATGAATGTTGATGAGGGAAGGACATGGCCCATTCAGAGTAATGCCAACTCTGGACTTGTGATCCTAGGTGGTATAAGAAATCAGGCTGAGTAATCCATTATGAGCAAGCCTGTAAGCAGTACCCCACCATGGCCTCTGAATCAATATCTGCCTCCAGAATCCTGCTCTGTTTGAATTCCTGTCCTGACTTCTTTTGACGATGAACAGTGATGGGGATGTTTAAGCTAAATAAACCTTGTCTTCCTCAACTTACTTTTGATTATGGTGTTTTACATACCAATGAGGACTCTAAGACATTATCTCTTTTCTCAATTAAATTTGAGATTATTATTGTTGTCTAATTTCCTCCCTCAGTCCAATTTGTATTGTCCACCTTACCTGCTAACTGAAGCCTGTTCTATATGTGATCAGCCTAACAAAAGAGACATCAATAAGAAAGAATAATTTACACACGTAAAAAATGCTAAAGATCCATTAGCTACAAGTGATCCATCTTCTTCTGTTTGCCTTGTTTAGCTTAACATAATGATCTGTAGCATCCATTCTCTGTGAAGAAAATACTTTGAAGAAGAAACTAAGATAAAGAATCAGACATCCTGTTCATGGATTAAAGAATTACTAAAAGGAAAATAGTATATTTGCTAAAGCAATGTAAAGATTTCATAAAATCTCCATTAAAATTCCAATTGTATTCTGAACAGAACTAGACAGTATAATCATAATGATCAAATGAAGGCATAGGACCACTCTAAGAGCCAAAAAAAAAAAAGAGAGAGAGAGAGAGAAATGAAAATACTGGAACTACTATAGAATCTGGTCTCAAAATATTTTACAGAATCATAGTAATAATATAAAAAATAAATAAGAGTGGCACAAGACAGACATACAAATGAGAAATTGAATAAGATTTAAGAAGATGGAAAGATACACTTTGCCCATAGATCAGTAGATTTAACATATCATAGTAAAAATATGTAACAGTATATATCTGAATAGAATAAATTTAGAATAAATTCAAAATAAGCCTATGCATATATTGTCATCAATTTACTAATAGCATAACCAATGACAAAATCATTTTTCACCACAAACTCTTAAGAAATACATACTTATTTTACAATACAAAGTAAAGCAAGGAAAATAAAAAGATAACTTCAGTACAGGATACTGAAAAACAGACCTAAATAGGAGAGAGACATTTTAAAGATTTAGATTGTAGCATAGTAAATTTTTATAGATATTCAATAAACTAGATATTGAAAGAGGCATTGTCTTGAAACTAGATCCAGATTTTCATGTTAAAGCCTCATGATCTGACCATGGGATCCAAACATACAAGCACAATTACCTCCGTTATGTAGCGTTGTTTGGCCAGTAACCTATGGCACCCTGATTTTTTTTTTTTGAAGCATAGGTGAGATCCGTGTGATGTCATAATGCCTGTAGTTTTTTGCCACCAAACATCCAGGTGTATAAAAGGCCCTTGGCACATGTTGAAACCCAAC